GTTTTAGAATTGAAGACTTTTTTTTTTTTTTTTTTAAGATTTTTGTTCTTAAGCAATCTCCACACCCAAGGTGGGGCTCGAACCCACCACCCGAAATCAAGAGCCCGGAGCTCCACGGACTGAGCCAGCCAGGCGCCCTGAATTGAAGACTTTTATGACAACTTCTATCCCTTTGCCTCCCAGTGAGACCTAGTAGAAATATCTCCTTTATTTCTTCACTGTGGAAACAGATTTTCTTTTATTCATATGTTACATCTACATATCCATCTGTGGTTATTCACATAAATTCAGATCTAGTGGCTACTGGAAAACAGTAGAGAAAGGCTCAAAAGAAGAAAGGTTACACAAGCATCCCGCATAGGGCACCTTGCTCAGCGGGGAGCCTGCTTCTCCCTCTGCCTGCCGCTCCCCACTGATTGTGCTAGTGCGCGTTCTCTCTCTCTGACAAATAAATAAAATCTTAAAAAAAAAAAAAAGGTACACAAGCGGGTACTTGTCTTATAAGTTAAGCCAGGTTCAAAGAACCAAAATAGAGCTAGACTGGGACATCATTAGGCTTATTAACAAACTTTTATTGAACGCCTACTCTGTTAAGTGTTTTTTTAAGATTTTATTTATTTGAGATAGAGAGCGAGTGAGAGGGAGAATGCACAAGCAAGGGGAGGGGAAGAGGGAGAAGCAGACTCCTGGTTGAGCAGGAAGCCCAATGTGAGGCTCGAACCCAGGACCCTGGGATCATGGCCTGAGCTGAAGGCAGACCTTTAACCGACTGAGCCACCCAGGCGCCCCTGTTAGGTGTTTTGATACCATTCCAGTGCCCTTTGGACCACCAGAAGACAGTACAGTAAACATAACTTTAAATAGTAAAACAAGTTAGCATATGATAAATGCAAAATAAATTATATAGGCAAAAGGATAATATGATGGAAAAGCACTGGATTAGAAGTTAAGAGATCTGATTTCTGTCCAAATTCTGATACTCATATGTCTATGTCACTTAAACCCGTAGTCCGAAATTTACTGCCTATAGGTCAAATCCAGTTCCACTCCTGTTTTTGTAAATAAAACCTTATTGGAACACAGTTGTGCTCATTTGTTTACCTTATCAGATATGGCTGCTCTGGGCAACAATGACAGAGTTGGGTAGTTGCACTCAATCACACAAAATTTGTCATGGGAAAAAAAATTTGTCGTGGGAATCAAATGGGATAAAATATAAAATTCTTTTTGAAATAAAGGAAGAGGGAAAGTAACATTTTGAGAATCTCTTATATACCAAACCTTGTATGGGCACTTTATGCGCATGATCTCATTTGTTGGAGTAAAGGGCCAAAGAGAGCTTATATATCATGTTTAATGGAGAGAATAATTGGGAAAAGGACTTGAGTGAGTCTCTTAAAGAAGGGTAGGGTTTAATTGAGAGAAGCATGAAAGGCTGGGCAAGGTGAATAGCGTGAACAAGAGTTTAGAGTTAAAAAGTCTTACAGTGTTCATCAAGGGCAAATAAAAAAGCGAACAAAGGGATCAAGTAGGTGAACAGAAGGAGAAACAAAGACTTTGAGTAAAGGCTTTGAACTTCTCAAAGCACTGAGGAGCCTTTGAAGGATTTGAATAGGAAATGACATGCAAAACACTGTTCTAGGAAAAGTAATCTGGTATCAGTGAGAAGGGATTAGAGGTAAGAGAGACTATTGCTATAATTAAAGTTTAGGCCAAAGATGTGGCAATGAAATGGGTAGGAAGAAATGGATTTTAAGAGACATTCCAAATACAGAATAAGAAGGATTTGGTGAGACGCCTGGGTGACTCAGTAGGTTGAGCGTTTGCCTTTGGTTCAGGTCATGATCCCAGGGTCCTGGGATCGAGTCCCACATCAGGCTGCTTGCTTGGCAGGGAGCCTGCTTCTCCCTCTGCTTGTGCGCTCCCTTTAAATATGTATATATTTATATATATAATAATAATATATATAATAAATAATCTGTAATACAATATAATTATATATATATATGTATATGAAGGATTTGGTGACTGAATGGCACCAAGTTTTAAGTTCAGTTATCCAGAAAAACAATGGTAGCTTAGACAGTGTTAACAGAAGAAAAAGAGTATAAAAAGGAAGAACAGGACATCTTTAAAGGAAAGATAATATTTTGATTGGTGACCACTGGAAAAAGCACCAGACTGGAAACCCAGAGTTTTGTACCCACATTGTGCTGTCTTACACAAGCCACCTAAATTTCCTCATCTCTAAAAAATTAGGGGGTGAATGATACCTCTTGGCTTTAAAATGCTGAAATTTTCAACAATATTTAGGTGTTAATAACATGGAAATAGAATTGTTCAGCAGAGATGTAGACTTTCAATATGTCTTCTAGGGGAGAGAGCGGGACTAGAGATGGGGATTCAGAAGTCTTCAAAGGTGAGGCAATAAAGCCATGAAAGATGAAATCTTTAAGTGAAACAATGTAGTCAGAGAAGAGTAAAGGATCAAGGACTGAGCCTAAGGGAGCACCCACACTCCAGAGCAGGCAGAAGTGGGGCCATTAAGAGATATGGAAGTTGCTGCCAGGTAGGTAAGAGGAGAATTAGGATAGTGTGTTGTCATGGGATCCGAGGGAGGAGAGTTTCAGTAGGTAGCATCAAGAGTGTCAAGTGCTACAGAGAGCATGAAGCACATAGCCTTTGTGCTTGGATCTAGCTATTGATTTGGTGGAAGCTACATTAGAATACCTGATCCTGGGGGCTCCTGGGTGGCTCAGTTTGTTAAGCATCTGCCTTCAGGTTTGGGTCACGATCTCGGGGTCCTGGGATCAAGGCCTGGCATTGGGCTCCCTGCTCAGTGGGGAGTCGGCTTCTTCCTCTGCCCCTCCCCACTGCTTGTGCGCTCTCTCAATAGATACATAAAATCTTTTTTTTTAATTTTTAAAAGAGATTTTATTCATTCATTTGAGAGAGAGAGAACATAAGCCAGGTGGGGGTGGGGGGAAGAAGGGGGAAGGGCAGAGGAAGAAACAGACTCCTGGCTGAGCAGGGAGCCCGATGAGGGGCTCGATCCCAGGACCCCGAGATCATGACCTGAGCATAAGGCAGACGCTTCACTGACTGAGCCACCCAGGCACCCCCGATAAATAAAGTCTTAAAAAAAAAAAAAAGAATACCTGATTCCGTGCAATAGTTAGTGACTCTGGAAGGTGCACTAGAGTGACAGTAGCTAAGCTGCAGGAGCCTAAGGCTTGAGTGGTAGAAAGGAGTCAGAAAGATTAGACTGTTAAAAATATGAGGAAAAGGGCGCCAGGGTGGCTTCGATGGTTAGGCGTCTGCCTTCGGCTCAGGTCGTGGTCCCAGGGTCCTGGGATCGAGTCCCGCATCAGGCTCCCTGCTCCTTGGGAGCCTGCTTCTCCCTCTGCCTCTCTCTCTCTCTCTCTCTGTGTGTCTCTCATGAATAAATAAATAAAATCTTAAAAAAAATATGAGGAAAAGATAAGAAAGAGAACAATCAGACTCAAGAGATGTTTTCCGGAAGGGAGAGACCTGATCCCACTTATGGGAGGAATAAATATTATTTGTAGGAGAAATAAACAAATAAATAAACAATTCAAGAACAACGTGAAGTTACAAGGTGAAGAAGGGATAAACGATATGGCAAAAGTTCCAGAGGAGAAAGGTAATCAAGAGCACAAATAGGTTTGCCTTAGAAAGGAGGTCATGTGGGCCGCCTGGGTGGCTCAGTTGGTCAAGCATCTGCCTTTGGCTTAGGTCATGACCTCAGGAGTCCTGGGATCGAGCCCCACGGCTCTTTACTCAGCCGGGAGTCTGCTTCTCCCTCTCCCTCTGCTCCTCTGCCCCTCTCTCTGCTCATGCTCCCTCTCAAATAAATAAAATAAAATAGAAGAGAAAGGAGGTCATGTTCTTTGAAATCAAGAGACAATTATTCCCTGAAAATGGAGGACTTGAGAAATAGGGGAAAGATGTGTAACCAGCTGTGAGAAACATGCTAAGTGGCCAATAAACAATAACTAAAATGACCAAGTAGTCTGATACACTGCCAAGGCTTAGGATGGGAGAAGACATAGTTTTGGTGGAAACTGGGACAAATAAGTCAGAGTGATATACAGAGAAGGGCAGATGCAGATAAATTCACAGACTTTCATGTTTGCCTCCCCGTGACACTGGGTAGCTTTCCTTAGTCTTGCACACGTTTGGCTGCAAGCTTTTTTTAAATTTAAGATTTATTTATTTATTTATTTTAGTGGGGGAGGGGTAGAGGGAGAGGGAGAGAGAAAATCTCAAGTAGGCTCCATGCCCAGCATGGGGTTTGATCTCACAACCCTGACCGTGACCTGAGCCAAAATCAAGAGTCAGAGGCTTAAGCTTAACCAACTGAGCCACCTTGGCACCCCTCCTGCAGCTTTTTGAATCAAGATGTGGCCCTGCGTCTGAGGAGACTCCCCATTATGACAGTTCTAGGGCACCCCTTCCTCTTCAAAACTGGCAACCACAGTGGCTGTTCTGGCTCTTGTGTCCCTCCTCTGGCCCACAGTAGATGACATATGCATTTATCCACAAGCATCAACAGCTCCCATCAAAGCAAAGAGCTATCCCAGAGCAGAAGAACCTGCTAGTCTGGGCCAGCTGGAAGAGTACAAAGGGAAAGGTACTAGTCTCTGAGACTAAATGAAAACACAAGCCCAATTCTGAACCCTGTAACTGTCCCAGGAAGTTTTCTGAACCCTGTAACTGGTCCCTAGGAAGCCAGCAGCAGAGTCTCATTTGCTCTCCACAGGATTTCTGTCATCCCATCCAGACTTCTGACTTGCTGGAGCTCACTGTCTCAAACATTCCCATCCCCTTTCTTTCTTCTTCTCTGCTGCTCAGAGGATCAATATTGGTATTTCAAGCAGAAAGTTTCAACTTCCTTTAATCAACAAACTCTTTAGGTATAAAATTTCTTTAATCAAAAAGCACTTCTCTTCCCTCAACACAAATGCACACATTAAAAGTAAAAAATATATATGAGAGAGACATATATTTACACAAATTAGAAACCACAGTCTCGAGTCCTGGATTAGGGGTTGAGAAAATGGACATCAGGAGCAACTGGAGGATGGCTTCTCATCTGCTCTAGATGTCCCACAGTCATCTCTCTGGCCATGGTGGGTAGACCAGGACCAGATAGGGTACAGCTCCAGGCTTATGGCAGAGTTACTGGCAAAGTGTGGCAATGAGGTCCCTCTCCAGGGAGTTTCTTAGGATCACCAGGGATGACCACAGATGCTGTAGCAGCTGGAACTGGAGTGGTTGGGGCAGAGTGGGTGAAGGGCTGCACTCCATGCTGGACAAAAAGGATGACACCAATGCTGGCCCCAGAGCCTAAAGGACCATGGCTAAAGGAAATGGTACCTGGGGAACTGAGTGGGGGGTTGCAAATTGGAGTGGTGTGGATCCAAGTGAGGTGCATGGTTGGCCATTCAGTGAGGTGCCAAGGCTGCTTTGGTTTCAACAGTAGATGTCCTAGCTGTGTCTGGTCCATCTTTTCCATTGGAGGTACAGGAGAAGCAGCAGCTGAGTAACTGTGGTGGCTTGGAAAATGCTAGAAGGGGGAGATGAGAAGAAAAAAAAATATGTGAGAGAGCTTTCAGATTAACTGCACTAGGTTGCTTAAAACTTTTATTTCCTTGGGGAATCTGTTTGCAATGCAAACATACCTAGTTTTATGCAACAGCTCATTTTCTGCCAGGTGATGATTAAAAGTTTTAGTAACCTAGTTATTCTTTCATTTACTTAACAAATACTTGAAGGCTTTTATGTACCACACACTCTATCAGGCACTGGACGTCCAGCAGGCAAAATAAAACAAACAGTCCCATAGGTTCTCACTATTTATAAAATAACTCATTTTATAACTTCTTTTTTAAAAGTCAATTTTTAGTTGGAATCATCATTCTCCAATTTCTGCATTTTAAATTTTAATTTCCCTTTGTTGAGTTTCTCAAGAAATGTAAATTAACATGCAGGCAAGATCCTCTTGCCTATTTTTGAATGAGTTATTCCCACAGCAATAATAACTGTGGTTGATTGAATACAAGAACGACTGTCCATTATCTATAGGAGACTTTACCCTCCCTGTAATTCGAGTATCCCATAAATACCCTATCGTTTGAAGGCACAAAAAATAGGTCACTTCCAAATGGGTCTAAGAATCTATCCAACACTCCTTCTATGGGTGCCCCATGGGTGCCCTCCTCCCCTCCCAGTGATATACTTGCTATGACCAGTCCTTGAAACCCACGCTTCCAGAGGGTTTGGTACAAGGATACTTGGGTAGGAGTAAAAAGAGGGAGAAGGAAAGAATTTTAGGGCAACAGAGAAGAAAGGATTTGTAGAGAAAAGCTAAGGACTCTTCCTGCATGACTCATTTGGCCAAGCAAGAAGCCTTCTGTATCTATGCAGAAAGCAGATAAGCTGCACATGAGGGATAGGGTTAAACTTCATGGAGTTCTTTGTAGTGATCAGAACAAAAATAGAACAAAAACCATACAAGAATCAAGACAATGAAGGAAAGCGAGGCATTCCCTCCCCTGAAAAGGAACCTGTTGGAAAAGAGGAAAAGACTCAAGAGAAAACAGAAGAAGGAACCCATTTCTGCAGGTACACTTCGTTTCCCTATATCCCTGTCTCCCCCTCAGTTTTACAAGTTCTTACCTTGGTCAGCTGGTGCCTGCTATTACCTAGTGATGATTTCTGGGCAGCTATATGAGGAAACCAAGTCTTTAACATCCCTTCTACCTGTAGCAAGGTTCCTAGGTAACGTTCCCTGTGAAAAAGACATTTCTTTAAAAAGTCATTAAGTGTGAAAAAGCAACAAGACAGGATTGTAGATATCTCCTTTTTTATGAAGTACTTAGGAAAGAAGCAGGGGAACTTACCCCATCTGTGGCTTCTGCAAAACGCCTACAATACGCTGGATTCTATCCATTGCCACGCTCTGCTGGAAACTGCTCAATCCTGGGGTCAGGGAGAGAGAAAGACATCAAAGATTGAGATTCAAGAATTTAGTCAGGTAAAGGAAGGAAAGAACAGGATAAAATAAATTCACCTAAAGAAATTAAACCACAGAGGCAGAAAAGTAATAATGTAGGCTGTGAAGATTTAAGACAAATACACATTTAAAACATTGAGAGAAAGAGAAAGAGATGAAGCTAGCCAGATAATTGCAACTAATCAGATAATTACCTCTCTCAAATCGACCCATCTTCAGCCCATTCAGTAGGTCTGTGAGAGGGCGGATGAATCCTTGAAGCTCTTTACACTGTAGGAAAACAGGACAAAGGCTATGAGAGGACTGGGAATTGCCCCTACATTACTGTTCTTCCCCACCTCCAAATCTGGGAACCAATGAAGAATTGGGTCCTTACTAACCCCTCTGGCTGCTAAGCCATTCCACTATTGTCGACTTTACCCTGCTTTCTCTTACCTTCTGAGCAAAAAGCAGGTCTCCTTCTGTGGTACAACCCTGGATGATCATGTTGGTCTGTAATCCACCATCTCTTGATCTTTTGACCCCAGATCCTGCCATGGGAGAGGCCAGGCCCCGCTGTTCCAAGTGAGATGCTGCTGTATGTTGGTTGCTGGAAACCTTGGGCCGTTGCCTGCACCGGATAGGACCGGGGCTGGGCCGAGAACCTCCCCTTTGCCCAACAGGGTCTGACCTGGGGCCATGGGCAGCCTTGTCCTCCCCCTCACTATCGGAGGGGAGGCCAAAGTCACTGTTCCCTGGGGAGGTGGAAAAAGAGGAACAGAGAGAGTAGGAAGAACAGGAAGAAATGCTAGCTGGAGAATCCATAGGTTCAGAAGCAGGGGCTGGAGAGCAAATCGCGAAGTACCCAACGATCGGAACCTGCAACTGAAGAGCAAAGCGAGGGAGTTTGTAACCATAATCTGGAAATTAGGAAATGGACCGGGAGACTGGGGTGTACTGTATGGGACGATAATACCTCTTCTCCCCAGCATTACATGTCTCAGAGACAATAGAAAAAGTCATCTCCCCGCCTGCCCCCCTCAGTTAAAAACCTGGACTGCCCCTCTGGCCTCCGCAGAACAGCTTCTTAGTCTGATACAGACTCTTCTTCTTTACTCCCCTCTGTTCAGAGTAAATCACCCAACTTGACACCTTCCCCTGAGAGTTGTTCGCCAGGTCTGTTCCCAGCCTGACCCCGCAGCGAGGGCTACTGGAGAGCCCTAAATCTCCGGTAACCCACCTAGTGACCCTGTAGGGACCACTCCCCACAGGGACCTCACGCCTCTTCCCAATCTTTCTGATCCGGATCCCTGAGCCGGACCCTCTACAGTCTCGCCTGCCACGTGATGCTATCCTTCCCAGTACCAAGATCTGCTTTCGGTCCCTAAACCTACCCCCTCCGGGTCTGATCCTCTCGCGCGGATCGCTTCCTTATTCTGCAAGCCTCCTCACCTGTATCGGTCGGCTCAGCCCAGGCTGTCTCCGGCTCCTTCTCCAACTCTGCGGGTCTCGGCTGCCCACCTCCGCCTCTCTCCCACTGGGTCCCGCCCCTTCCCCCCCCTCCCAGACACGTGCGGCTGGGCACGTGCCTTCCCCCTGCGTACACAGACCTCGCACCCTCATTGGTTGCCTAGCCGGTGGCACGTGACTCTTGTTACTGAAGTTCACATCCCATTTGCTACAGCCTGCAGGGGCTCGGCCAATAGAGACGCTGGTAGGTGACGATTGGCTGGAAGGGAAGCATTCCGTGCCCCGCCCCTACATGCGGCTGGCGAACCGGACCCGGTGATGAGAAAAGGAGGAGGATGGAAAAAGAGTGGAAAAGGGCGGAGCCCGAGGCCTTAAATAGGATGATGGTGGGCAGGAGACGTGCGGTTGGAGTGTGCAGACTGGTTGTGCGATCTGAGGCGCGCGTGTTGGGATGTGGGACTCCGGGCTCCTCCTCGGTAGCAGACGCCCTCCCCACCCCCCGCGGCCCCCCTCCCGCTGAGCGCCTCCTCTCACGAGGGCAGCACGTGGAAGCCGTCAGCGACTTGGGTCTGCAACGTGTGTGAGAGAATGGATGTATGCCACTGTGTATCCTCTCCCCCTCTGGGCCGCGCGGCCCTCGTGACTCTCGGGTCTCTGCTTCACCCTCTCCGCCTCCTCCTTCTACAAGTTGGGTGCCTCCTGCCCTGCTGGGTGAGGAGGGTGGGGACTGCTGCCGAGAACACCGCGTCCTCTCGCGCACTCCCACTGGGGCGGCTCCGGCCCTTTCCTTACATAACCCGCCACGCACGTTACCAGCTCAGATGCCAGCCAGCCACGACTCTAGAGGTCAAAGCCGAACTCGGTTGTTCCTGACTTTTCTGTCCGGGGTCCTCGGATTCCTAGCGCAGGGAAAGGAGTATGGGTAGGTCCCTGATCGCCTAGATTATACCTTTGTCCAGCTTCATTTCCTTTATTTGTTCCCTGGAGAAGATTCGAAAGGCTTGGAAGGAGGGAAGGTGGCAAGTCCGGAGTTGAGAGAGTCCGGAATTTACTATTCAATGCCCCTCGCAGTACTGAAAGTACAGCGAGGCGAAGGGGATAGGGGCTCAGGGACCGTGGGCTGATTGAGGCTGTGACACCGAAGAGACCGCAAGGGGGCAGCCCAGTTCTGATTAGGGTCTCGGGGACAGAGGGAGAATTAAAGTATGTCCCTGCCTGCCCTAATTACACGCTGGAAAAGGCACATTGTTGGGGGTTGGGGGTGTAAGTGGAGGAGGGTGTCAGTTTTTAAGATCTATTCTAAGTAGTTTTTAATATTTTACATATGTTTAACAATGTGCTTATTTTATAAAAAGAAAAAAGTGTTCTTCATAAACCTCAGCTCTTTTCCCAAACACACTGTTTCAACGCCATGTGTAATAAAATATTAGAATTAGATGAAGTTAACTGTCTGTTGGTGCTCTTCTCCATTCTTCACAACATTTCAGGTTTATTCACAGTCCTAATTATTCCCTCTAATTCTACTGCCACCTAACTCCCTTTCTAATCTACCTTTCCTATCCCCATATCCTGGTGCTCTCTTTAGTGTTGTGAGATTAGGACAGACCCTCACGAAGGAGTAGACAGTAACCAGATTATTTCATTTATTTATCTTCCAATTTCCTCTTCCCGAGTCCCCATCCAAAGAGTTGTAGCAGCCTTTTTTCTCCTAAAAAAGGAAAGAAAGGGAAAAACACTAGGCTCAGGTGGCTCAGGAAGCCCCTCGTGGCCCCCCACCTCTATGAAAACTCCCCAGATTTCATATTCTGGGCAAGATTTCCCCCATCTCCTGGAAGATGTGTCCCCTCCCCTCCTCACTCCTTCCTCTGGGAAATCTCTTCACCCCCTCCCCCCAATAGTTTTTTTTAGAATCCCAATTTTAAATTCCTTTCCTATAGTATAGGCTTCTCTTCCCTCCTGCTTGCCTCCACCATCTCTCCTCTACTTTAGGGAACCAACCCGGCAGACCCCTTCTGCCTCTGACCTTTGCCTCTTGACTGCCAGGTTGTAGGGCACCTCCCATTATGCCCTCTGGCAACTGCCATATCTTAAACCACCTCCTGGATGGAACCAGCTTTGATTCCTCAAGGCAGACTGGAAATCTGGAGAGGTTTCTTCCCTGTTTCACCTGCTTCTGATGTAGGAGGTCCTGAAGTCCTCCCAATTCAGAAAAAGTAATGACTCTTGTTAGAAAAGTCTCTGCCTCAACATCTCCTAAACCTCTTTAAAATTAGATAAGATTTTTCTAAATGGAATCCCTTGTCCTTTAAGCAGCTGAGAATTGACCAGGCTGGAAACACTAGCCAGAGATATTGGCTAAATAATATAATAAATAATAAAATAATTGGCTAATAAAAAATTACTTCACTGATTCCCCAAGGCCAGTGGCTGCACTCTCACCTTCTACATGAAATACATCCCCCCCTGAACGAGGGCCCAGGACAGGAGGAGGGGAACAGGACTCTGCAGACTGGATACAGCATCGTTCAGATCTGGACTCTGCTAAAAATACAGACATCCCCCCATGGTAGGCCAGTGTCATCCTTCCTACCAACCCTCCTCCCCCTCTGGAAGGATAGCCATCTCTTTATACCAACCTCCATCTTCCTTTCTTCGGAGCTTAGAGAAAGATCCAGCTCTCCTCCCCATAACTATGAGGAGTCCTTTCCTCTGTGCCTTTCAGCCTCCTGAGCATACCGGGGAGGGTCAACTCAGTTCAACAATGTGCATTTTTTTTTAATCTGTTATGTGCATGACACTATGCTTAGTCACTGTGCTAGGTGCTACAGCGGGGATATAAGTGTGATTAAGACCTCCCTCCTTTCTTCAGAGAGTTTACAATCTAAGTGGAGCCTACTATGTACCTTAAAATCTTTCCCTGTCCTGGTCATCCATCCCCAGCTTTCCATTCCTACTGACCCCTCCCATCTGTGTTCAACTATATTCAGGCTACACTTTGGTCCTCTTGCCCTTTTTGGCGGCTGCTTCTTTTTTCATTACCAGATTTCTCAGATGATTGGTCTATACTCTCCCTTCCCTTCTTCACAATGTACTCCCTCTCTAACTCCATAAAACCTAACTTTTGCTCAACCACTCAATTAAAACTTCTTTCTTTGGAGCTACCAATGACCTCCTTTTCTTTGGCCTCTTGGTCGCTTTTTATTGACTATATTAAACTTTATCTTCTAGATTCTATAATACAGACTTGGCTATCTGCCTGCCTGTTCAATCAGTTCTTCTCCATTTTCCTGGTTGATTCCTTTTCCTCCTCCTAACTACAGGCACAGTCATTGGCCTCTGGTCTTCTGTGTACCAGCTCTGTTGAGCTTGTTTACTTTCGTAACTGTGACTTTGCACTTAGAACTGAAGCTCTGACCTAGTTAAGCTACCTTTGGACACCCTCACCATAAATTCAGCTTGGCCAATACCTGATTTATACCTTCAGTCTTAAACCACTCTGACCCTTCACAGTTCCTATTTTGGTCAGCCATTTCCCCAGACATCCATATTCAAAACTTGTAAGTTATTTCAACTCTCTCCTCATTTACCGCTCATTGCATTTTCTTCAAAATACTTATTTTTCTCCTCTCCCTTTAAAATGCTACTTCCCTAGTCCAAGCCTTTAATGGATTGTTTCCAGAATGATGTAAATCTCATGCATCTCTCTCCACTCTGTTGCATCCTGCATACAACAAATAGTTTTTCTAAAATACCGCTTTCGGGGCACCTGGGTGGCTCAGTCGTTAAGCGTCTGCCTTCGGCTCAGGTCATGTCCCAGGGTCCTGGGATCGAGCCCCACATTGAGCCCCGCATCGGGCTCCCTGCTCAGCGGGAAGCCTGCTTCTCCCTCTCCCACTCCTGCTGCTTGTGTTCCCTCTCTCGCTGTGTCTCTCTCTGTCAAATAAATAAATAAAATCTTAAAAAAATAAATAAAATACTACTTTCACTGTATCTTTACCACACTGAAGAACTTACTAGGCTCCCCCGTTGTTTATATAAGTCCAGACTTCAGCCTGACACTTCAGATTCTCTTGTGATTCAGCCCTATTGCCTTACCTATGTGAAATTACCAAGCGAATATTAGGAGCCTTGTAAATTTTAATTTTTTTTCTTAATTTTGCACTGTTCCTTCCCATTCACCTTCTCCTTCAATCATACCCTATGCTACTAAACATGCCATGCTTATGCCATCCCCTCACCAATGCAGCTCTTTCATCTGCCATTCTTCCTTCTAATTGTTTTCATACTTTCATAACTTACTGCCACTCAAAAGCTTACCTATCCTTCCAAGTATATCTCAAACACAGTCACCTTCTAAAAGTCTTCCAGGCAACTCCAGTGTATACTGATTTCTGTCCTTCCACCGACTAAAACACTTGCCTATGTCATATGCTCTCAAATTTATATGTAATTGAACTTTGTTACGAACCTTTTCATTTTGTTCTAAATGTTTTGTAAGCGTGAACTTGGGTTTTATAAATACTTTGAGGGCAATAACAACATCATAGATTTCCTTTTCTTCATCATCAACATCCTTCACGGTTTTTTTTTTATTTTTTAAAGATTTTTATTTACTTACTTGAAAGAGAGTGAGAGAGGGAGAGAAAGCACCGAGGGAGGGGGGAGAAGCAGGCTCGCTGCTGAGCAGAGAGCAAGATGCAGGACTCACTCTCAGGACCCTGAGATCACAACCTGAGCCGAAGGCGGACACTTAACAGACTGAGCCGCGCAGGCGCCCTCCTTCACAGTTTTAGTCATAGGTTACATGCACATTTAAGTACTATCGAACTGAAATTTAACTGTACCAAATCTTCCCAGTTTTCTGAATACAAGGTTAGTATTAAATCTCAATGGAGTGGCTCCTGGGTGGCTCAGTCAGTTAAGCGGCTGACTCTTGGTTTCTGCTCAGGTCACGATCTCGGTCCTGGGATCAAGGCCCACATCGGCTCCACACTCAGTGGGGAATCTGCTTGAGGATTCTCTTTTTCCCTGCTCCTTTTGTCCCTCCCCTGGCTCTTTCTCTCTCTCTCTCAAATAAATAAATTAATTAAAAAAAACAACTAAAAAAAATCTCAATGAGAGGTACGATGGCCAAGCTGAGCTGGACACCTGCATTGCTATATTAGTTATTTGGTTCCTTCTTCCACCAAAGCCTATTATTTCAGCCCTCCCTCTGTTCTATGTCACCAGCCCTGGGATCTGCCCCCCCACCCCCCCCATCCCCCCGCCCTGCCCCACCATCCCCAATCCACTCACTGGTTCCATTGTCATTGGTTTCAGTGTTTCAGGCTTCTGAGGGTCTGCACCTTCTGTTTCATGACTAAAGGTAGTCTCTGCTGCTTCCCTTACCTTCTTATCCACCCTGTTCTGCCCTCGGTAGGATCAAGAAACACAGAGCTATCATTGCTTCCATCCAACATCCTCAGAGTTTCTCTATTTAGACTCCTTCTCTCCTGCAGCCCTCATCCCCCAAACTTAAGCTCAGGAATCCTCCCTACTTTATGTTTGCATGGATTATGTACCCATCCCATTCACCAATTCCCCTGACTCAAGGACTGCCCCTCCCCCTCAATGTCTTAGCAAACCTACTGAGTTCTGGCTTTATTTTCTTCCCCAATTGTGGTTGACACATATGCTTTGGGACTTCCCAGTTCCATTTCACCTAACTCATTTGTGTTCCTGCTAATCATTTATATGTCAATATTGACCAATTTCTTTTTAAACCGTTACCTATCCCGACCCTCTTAGATGTAGAGATCACTCACCTGTCTGTCCTCAGATTCAAACATGGAGTAATCAACAGTGAAATTTGCACCGAAGTCATCTGGGGAGGATAAAAAAATCGGTAGTGACAAACAAAAAAGGTAGCAGTAGGTCTATAAATGGAAAGAAGAAGAAATTGCTCCGAATACTTGAACTTCCTCAAGTTGTAAAATTTACTGGTGTAATCTAATTCTAATGAACTTTAATGTTAAAAATGTTTGTGAATGTACCTGCATTTATATTTTCAACCTGGTATCTAAAACAATTTACAAATTTGAAAATCTTCAAATCGTTTCAACCAGGTTCCAAAGAACTGAAAATCACTAGCTTGAGAAATAACATTATGAGCCTTGCTAAGGTCTTTGCTCATAGCTGAGTTTCTCTCTGATCTAGTTGTTCCAACGGCAAAGAGAAAGGCAAAGTCTCAGAACTAAGTATCCCCCAAATCTCGGTCCATCCTGCTATGGGTCAGAGCCTTATACATACTTACCATAATTGGGGGTGACTGTGTAATAATAGACCACCTGATAATAATCATCCTCTCCCAGTCCTTCTTCATCCTTATATTCTTGTCCTATGGGGGCATCTGGAACTCCTTAGCGAGAGAAGAACACCTGAAGTTGACCTCAGCTCTATCAGTTTCTTTTCTCTCTGCCTCCCCTCCAAGGGTCTTACTATCTCACTGCCTGTGTACCTCTAAACCCTTCTCGGTCTTTGGGGCTCCATATCTGTGATGAGGCCTGTTACTCCATGCCCTTTCAATTCAGGAACTCCTAAAGAGAAAACCAGTCCCTAAACCCAAAATGAGAGGTAAAGCTAAAAAGGTAGGAAGCAGAGGTGCCAGAAACGAACAACTCCAAATCGCCTCTCCAGTATTCCACAGACGGTATTGGATTTGTGAGAGACTTTCTTCTCTTCTCAGTGTGTCTCACACATAACAAAAACACATCCTTAGGCTTTTGGACTTGGGTTTTTGTTTATTATTTTTTTTAACGAACATACAATGTATTATTTGTTTCAGGGGTACAGGTCTGTGATTTATCAGTCTTACACAATTCACAGTGCTCACCATAGCACATACCCTCCCCAATGTTCATCACTGGACTTGGGTTTTAGTTCCGGATTCACTGCTAACTAGCAGAATAATCCTGAAGAAGTCACTTAACACCTGCTCTCTTAAAATGAGTCAGCTGGACTAAATGATGTATCTGCATTAGTTTTTCTTCCTTCCCAGGACTAAAAATATGTGGCTTTGACATGATTAGATCAAGGACTCCAGGCCTCCTACTGAACACTTCCCTAAACTCCTTAAATGCTCTTCCCGAACCCCAGGCAATGACACACAAATCTGGAGGAAAAGGAAACAATGAGAGTACCTGGCAGACTGGGAACAAAGGAGGGAAGGAGCCAAGCTACTTTTGGGACTCTCTCCACTACCCTAAAGGCCCCCCCCCCATTTCTGTTTCCTTACTAATATAACGGTTTTTTCTCTGACCGTCTGGGAAAGAAGATACCCTGGCTTCTCTCACTGGTTTCAGACTGCCCCACCTTCCAAGAGCCCATCTCTCTCCTCCACCCTCTCTGTAGTCCCTCACCATCTTGTTCAACTCCGTGGTGTCAGAGAGCTGAGGTGACTCTTGTTAGGACCTCCAAGCGTCCGGGGCTCCATCCGCATCAGCTGTCTCTTCTTTGACAGGACTCTGCTTTCCTCCCCTTCTCCTGGCTCTTCTTTCCAGACCCCTCCCCCTCCGCCCTAACACTGGACTTGGGCACAGATGTGTGTTATCACTCCCCATCAAATTGCGCCTCTCACCCCCTCCTCACTTTTTTTTTTCTCCCACCCCACTTACGACAGAAGACCTGGCCCAGAAGCTCAGGGAGAGAAGTGAACTTACCCCGGATAAGTGGCACTGCAAGGACGGTTATGAGGAGGGCATGCATTCTGGATTCTCCACTATTGCTGTGAAAGTAAAAAAGGAAATTACAGAGTTTCTCACCAAATTTACCCCGCCTTCTGCCCTCCTCCAATGCTGTTGCAACTCTTCTCCCAGGGAGTAGAATTCTCCACCCACTTGCTGATGGACTAGATCATCAGTTTCCACTGGTCAGCCAGATTCTGCCCAGATTAAGAGAGGCAAAGTGGGTTTTGAGGCGAACCGGGCTCACTGAGCTCCCCCAGCCCGAGATTAGATCCATTCAGGACTCCCGCGGCCACTACCAAAACAAGCAAACAAACAAGCAAAACGCCAAACCAAAACAAAAAACCCCAGCCTATCTAGGAGCTTCCTGTCTCCCCGCCTCTCCTTCTTCCCTCCTCAGTCCTTACAACAAGCTCACCCTCCTTCTCACTGTCCCTAACTTATCATCATCAAGCAGAGTCAAGGCTTATTCACAATCTTTCTTCACAGTCAAAATGTTCTGAGGAAAGGATGAGCATTTTTTCTAGACCAAAAAAATTCCCTCTCCTCTGCCTATCCTGCACTATGAAGTACAGGAGTAACAACATGATTGTCTGACACTCAAAGCACATTACTTGTGATAAAAATCTCTCAGCCAAGGCTAGTTATTTCCTCTCTGGTAAGTACTGACCTCACTTCACTTCTTTCTCTCCTTTCTGGATACAGGATGGAAGAAGGGAGGAAACAGCCTCTTTTCCCATGTAGATGCTACCCCCTTCTCCCACTTTCAGCCACTTGGTATGCTCCCTCCATTCCAGCCCACAGGGCTACAGTTCATCTCACTTTTCTCTCTGCTTTTATATTTCACATTTGTATTCGATTCAACTCAGAAACATTCAGTAATGTATATGCTAGGCCTAGTCTGATAGGCAATTCAGGGTCCACTGGCAAGGGAATAAGAGTAGTGATGTTTTTTAAGAGGAAGTTAATAAATATCTATTCAACGTCTACTAAGAGTCAGGCGCTATGAGAGTCTCTGTGGAACCACGGGTGGACAAGTTAGGTTTGGCGCCTGCTCTCATCAGTCAGAAGATGCTGTGGTAATAGCTCAAAGGAGAGATAAGAAGAGGTGTCTTCCTCCTATCACCTCCCCTGACTCGGCCTGCTAGGCTCAGAAGCAAGACACACTGGAGTTTTGAGCACTGGCCAGGATGTTTACACCCTCTCAGCCTTTTGGTGGGGCGGGGTGGGGGAGGATTTGCTTGGTGATGGTGATTTTCCATGTATCTATACAATCTATTCCTTTAGCTCCTTTTAAGAATTTCCTGGAAAAAAATGTAAAACGCTTATGTGAATGTACCCATATGCATTAAGTCATAAATCACTTCCAGGAAGGAAAGGAAACCTGGTTCTCTTTGAACAATTTCTATGGTTTTTTGGTACTTTGATTAGTCTCTCAAAAACAATTTTCCAGATTTTGTCACTTTCCCATTCTGGTACTCTTTTACCTAAATATCCTCCCTAAAGACTGACCTTTGCCCCATCCAAATGAGGTTACAATACCCTCTTCTCCTATTTTAATTTTCTCTCACTCTAATACACACAACCACTGTGCCTTCCCCCAGCCTGAAGAAAAGACACCACCGAGTTCATTTTCAGAAAATAAATGGAGGAAGTATGATCTAAAAGGAACTGTGTGACTTGGCTGGTGTGTGTGTGTGTGTGTGCGTGTGTGTGCGTGCGTGTGCTTTTCCTTCAACCCCATAGCTCGAATTGCTTTTTTACTGTCTTAACTTTGAAATCTTAACACCAAATCCCATGTAACCTCCTTCCTAACGTTGCTCTCCAGGCTCCTATTCTCTCCGATTCTCTGGTCATGACAGATGAAGGCTTCGTTAGCGATACACTCACTGAATTGAATGTTTCCTATACTAGCCTGTTGAAAGAATCTTACTTTTAAGTCTAACCTTCATCTTTTAGGCAGTAGCTCAAGCTCATTTCCTCTAATTCAAGTAAGAACAATACCCGTCCCTATCTCCCTGCACCCTCTATCCTGTGCTTTCTTTGTATTTGTCCTTTAGGTTCCAACAGGATCTACCCCCCGCCCCCCGCCGCTCTTCAAGAAGACGTAGAATTGCTACTACCCTTCCCCCACAAAATAACAAAAGGAAGCCGCGCCAAGGCCCAACGAGACCCAGGAACCCGGGCCAGTCCCGACCCACTCCCTCCTTTGACCGGCTCGAGCCACTCCCAGAACCCAGGTCGAAAGCTCAGTAGGGCAGAAGGACTACAACTCCCAGCAGGTAGTGCCGCCCCGCCCCCGCAGCTCCGCCCCCGCTGATTCTCCATTGGCCTTCGGGGGTGGGGATTGGATGGGAGGAGGCCATGGGGCTGCGGCGGGGTTTGTTCCCTCCTCGGCTTCCGTAGAGGAAGTCGCGCGGACCTGTATCTGGGGTTTCGGTGTCCCCCCTCCCCTTCCCCGGGGTCCGGGGGTGACATTGCACCGCGCCCCTCACGGGGTCGCGTCGCCACCCCAAGCGGACTCCCCAGCTAGCGTCCTCCCCCTATCAACCCCTCTTGGCCAGGCTTTCCACCCCGCCCCCAGTTGCCCAGCCATGGGGGCCGCAGTGTTTTTCGGATGCACTTTCGTCGCTTTCGGCCCGGCCTTTGCGCTTTTCTTGATCACTGTGGCTGGGGACCCTCTTCGCGTAATCATCCTGGTCGCAGGGTGAGTAGGGGGTCGACAAGACGCGGGAGGGCGCCAGAGAGAGAGAGATCCGGAAGGGGCTGGGCGAGCTTGGGAGCCTGAGTTGGGGGAGACAAGTCGGAGGTGAAGATTGGAAAGGGTCGAGTCAGGGGTCTAGATGATTTGCCCTTTCCCGCAGTTGGTTTCCGCCTTCCAGGGATCGCACAGATTCCTCCTATACTCCTCCCGGCGACGTCAGAGGAGGCCCAAGGCCAAGACGCGTGAGGGGGGTGTGCTGACCTCCGCCGGCCTAAGGGAGGATCCAGGAATGGATACCTCTCCCTACTGTGCGCGTACATTCTGGCTCTCATCGCTCTGAAGACTCATTAATCAGATTTCTGTCCCTTCCCCCGGTCCAGATCCCTACATGACCCCCTTGGTGGAGACACCGATCCTGTCTCCTCCCAGTCTCCCTGACCATCCGGAAGTCTAACTTCCACTTTCCATGCTGCAGCCTTGATTGGTTCCCCTCCTTGATTTCCCTGGCTCTGCCTACCCTGACCTGTCTGATTGCCCTTGTCTTTCCTCAGGGCATTTTTCTGGCTGGTCTCCTTGCTCTTGGCCTCTGTGGTCTGGTTCATCTTGGTCCATGTGACCGACCGTTCAGATGCCCGGCTCCAGTATGGCCTCCTGATTTTTGGTGCTGCGGTCTCCGTCCTTCTACAGGAGGTGTTCCGCTTTGCCTACTACAAGCTGCTTAAGTAAGAAGATGGGATAGTTAGGAGGGGAGAAGGGCAGAGGATTGCACTATGAGAAGTGGGGCAGCCCCTGGGTGGTGGGTTTGGAAGAGGAGGCACTAGGGGAGGACGTTAGAGGGAAAGGAGCATTACTGCCCTCCCTCATATTTCCCCTACCCCACCCCACCCCCGCCCCATCCCAGGAAGGCAGATGAGGGGTTAGCATCGCTGAGTGAGGACGGAAGATCACCCATCTCCATCCGCCAGATGGCCTATGGTGAGCCAAGGGAGAGGGACTGGAGGAGGGAGTTGGACACCCCCCTCTCCCAGGGAAGTGGAAAACAACCACGTGTTCTAAGTGGCTGCTGCTTTTCCTTCATACCTGACTTCCAAGGAGGTGGTCTGGAGGGAGAGTAGGTGTGGGGGAATTGTGACTGGGAATGGGGTGGGATCACTGGTAATGAGGCTATAAAGACCTCTGACATTGATGAGACCCTCCTTCCCTCCAGTTTCTGGTCTTTCCTTCGGTATCATCAGTGGTGTCTTCTCTGTTATCAATATTTTGGCTGATGCGCTCGGGCCAGGTGTGGTTGGCATCCATGGAGACTCACCCTATTACTTCCTGACTTCAGGTAAGGCCCGCTTTCTGTCTTGCCTTCATGCCCCATCCATCCCTGGCCCTGATCTGATGTATTAGCCTTCGCTGGGAGACCTCTTTGGCTCAACATCTCAGGAGGCTGGGAGAGGATGAGGGATGTAGCTCATCCCCATCTCCCTCTCTGCAGCCTTTCTGACAGCAGCCATTATCCTGCTCCACACCTTTTGGGGAGTTGTGTTCTTTGATGCCTGTGAGAGGAGACGGTACTGGGCTTTGGGCCTGGTGGTTGGGAGTCACCTACTGACCTCGGGACTGGTGAGTTGGGGACATGGGCCCGAGTTAGAGAGAAAAAAGTTTAATGGTGAGTGGGATGGAGGGGAGGTATATTCTCACTTCTTAACATTTGAAAACACACCAAGGGAGGAGGCAGAGAGGTAAGTGTTGAGAAGTCTCTCACCTCAGCATCAGTTGTATAACCTGCTCTGGGGATGCTCCGGGAGGAGTATGAATGGATTAGTCAAACTCTAATACAAATGGCCTGAGGTGAGCAGGAAGGGGCAGAAACCTATGAGGGAGCTAAAAATCAAAAGTCCTCTTAACCTCTCAAGATGTTGGTGCCCTGAAAGGAAGGACTAGGGATTTGAGTGAGCCACCTGGGGCGGGGTAGGGGGGGAGGTTTGGGTCAAAGGCACGGAGAGAATGTGGGGATTAGGCAGAGAGAGAAGCTAACTTCTTTTCTACTCTTACCCCATCCCTAGACATTCCTGAACCCCTGGTACGAGGCCAGCCTGCTGCCCATCTATGCAGTCACTGTTTCCATGGGGCTTTGGGCCTTCATCACAGCTGGAGGTTCCCTCCGAAGTATCCAGCGCAGCCTCTCGTGTAAGGACTGACTACCTGGACTGATCGCCTGACAGATCCCACCTGCCTGCCCACTGCCCATGACTGAGCCCAGCCCTAGCCCGGGTCCATTGCCCACCATTCTCTGTCTCCTCGTCGGTCTGTCCCACCACCTTCAGGGTTTTGCTTTGTCCACTCGTGACCTTTAGTCTCTAGGCTTCACCAGGAGCAGCCTGGGTTCAGCCAGTCAGTGACTGGTGGGTTTGAATCTGTACTTATCCCCACCCTCTGGGGACCCCCTTGTTGTCCAGGACTCCCCATGTGTCAGTGCTCTGCCCTCACCCTGCGCAAGACTCACCCCCCTTCCCCTCTGCAGGCCGACGGCAGGAGGACAGTCGGGTGATGGTGTATTCTGCCCTGCGCATCCCACCCGAGGACTGAGGGAACGTGGGGGGGAACCCCTAGGCCTGGGGTGCCCTCCTGATCTCCTCGCCCTGTATTTCTCCATCTCCAGTTCTGGACAGTGCAGGTTGCCAAGAAAAGGGACCTAGCTTAGCTGTTGCCGTGGAGATGAAATTAATGGAGGCTCAAGGGTAGACGAGCTCTCAGTTTCCCAGTACCTCCTCCCCAGACTGGGCGTCTTGGTATTTTTCTCAGGTCTGAGGGGAACCATTTTTGGTGTGATAAAGACCCCAAACTGCCTTTTTCTTTTTTCTTTTCTTCCTTCCTTCCTTCCTTCCTCCCTCCCTCCTTCCTTCCTCCCTCCCTCCTTCCCTCCCTCCCTCCCTCCCTTCCTTCCTTTCTTTCTTTTTCTTCCTTCCTTCCTTTTTTTCTTTTTTTGAATGGGGGAGGGAAGAGGTGTGTTGGAATTCTTCTAACCTCCTTGAACTATATTTTCCCTCCTCAAATTGCTCCTCATGGTGGGGCTTATATCTGTCCACCTTTCCCCTTTGTCTCAGGCCTTGGGGGAAAGGAAGGAAGTGCATGTTTGGGAAACTGGTAATACTGGAACTAATGTTTTAACCTCCTTGACCACCAGCATCCCTCCCCTCCCCAAGGTGAAGTGGAGGGTGCTGCGGTGAGCTGGCCCACTCCAGAGCTGCAATGCCACTGGAGAAGTCAGACTACCATGACATCACAGGGAAGGAGGGCAGATTTTTTTCTAGTTTTTAATTGGGGTGGGGGGGGGGGGGGGGGAGGTTTTCTATAAACTGTATCATTTTCTGCTGAGGATGGCATGTTCCATCCTTTTAATCAAGGTGATTGTGATTTTGACTAATAAAAAGGACTTTATAATTGTGGGGGAACTTGGCTTTTAAGGGAGGGGATAACATGTTCATCGAGATTTCTGTCCTCCCACATCTCTTATCCAACCTCCTTCCTTATCTGGCAACCTCTGACCCCCTCCAGCATAGCTTTGGTACAAGGATAGAAATCTGGGCTCACGGTCTCACATGTCAGGAACTTTGGGTTAAGTATTTTCCAGAGGCGGATCTCCCCTTGCAGGACTGGGGTAAAAAGAGTTATTCATCCATGCTTCTTTCCCCCTGTCCTTCGCCCACCTCTGCCTCCTGAGAGATTAAGGAACTCCCCCACTCTCAAGAGCCCCAAAGGAAGACCCAGAGGTGGGATTAGAAACTTTAATTTCCAGGTATATTGAGCAAAAAAATACATAACCCCAACAGCAACAAGTCTTTTTCCTAAGGGGAGGTCCTACCCTATATCTAGGGAAAAGGACATAAAGGCGAGGGGGTGGAGGACTTTGGGGGTTACATCCCCAACTTCCCCTACAACTAGACACAGTTTGCTGTCTGCATTGTTAACATGGGGTTGTCCTGATCTATAGGTTTTGAGAGGTCGAAGGCTCTGCTCTTATTCCATGAACAAGAGCCTGTCCGTGCCTCTCTGTAGGGGCTGTCTGGAGGAAGGAGGGGTGTCTGCCCACTACTTCTGGCCAGTCCCTGCAGCTCATTTTAGAAGCTCCCTGATTGGCATGAGGGGAAGGCATCTATGATGTCGGCGAGGGAGTCTATGCCTCTGTGGCTCGTGCCGAGGTGAAGACCACGCTTTTCCGGTTTCCTAGCCTCTTCTTCCTGGAAGGGGGAATGGTTCATGGAAATGACTAGTATCCTAGGTGAAACAGATTAAAGATGGAATAGAGTGATTTTCAGTAGAAAAGAAAGGACGGAAGGAATGGAAAGTAGGACCTCACCGAATCTTCCTAGCGATGAAATAAACAGCCAGTAGAAGACAAAGACAGCCAACCAAGATTCCCACTCCTAAACTCAGCATTTCACCTGGGAGAGAGAAACACAGGAGATGTCATCCTAGGACTAACATAGATACTGAGACCTTCCCTCAGGCACCGTGGAGCGCCACTCCCCTCCCCCACACCTGGTTCAGGCTGTCTTACCTGTAGTGTAGGAGGATCTCGCTGTAAGGGAGGAAGACGTGGGTCAGTGGGACTTGAGCTCCCCATCCCAGCTGGGAGCAGTACACTCTGCCTCTGTGCTGGGGGAGACCATCACCTGGCGTTCCGGGGTGGGGGTATTCCCAGTCCCAGCAAGTCTGAGAAACTCCTTCCCGTCCTAGCCTTCCTTTTCTTCCCAGAGGCTCCCTAGTTCCTGCCACCGAGTCCCCCAATTTCCCATCTCCTTTTCCAAGCCCTGTGCAGTCACCTTGGATGAAAGAAGCAAAGACTGTTCGCTGATTGAGAGGCTGGGGGGCTCGGTAGTTCCGTACCAGGAGCTTAGAGGGCACCTCTTCTGTGGAGAACAATGTCTCCTGAAGCTCTTCCAGCTGAGGAGTAGAAGAGGGGGGTTAGGGGAGAAGTGTCACTCACTTTGTGGAGTGGGAAAGGGTCTGAGGTTATGTCTCTGCTGCCTCACCTCTCCACCACTCACCTGTCCCATCGAAATCTGAGCCCTTCGACTGAAGACTGTCCAGAGCACGCTCTGGTAGCAGGGGGGTGTGGTGAGCGAGCCGTTGTAACGGAAGAACTGGTCCAGCTGTGGGGGGAGCAGCTCTCCCACGTTGAAGGGAGGCACTGAAGTCTTCTGATCTGGAGGAGATCAGACTAGGACTCCTCTTCCCCTCACTGTACCCCAGCTTACCTAGATGGCACTCCCAGAAGCAAAGCCCCGGCCCCTAACTCATCGTCATCCCAGGCTTCATAGGCCTTTTTGGGGAAGTGCCCCTGAAGTCTAATCTCACAGGCTCACCTTTATGCCTAATTTCATGCAAGTGACTCAGGATGTGTTCATAAACTGGATTCTTGGTCTCACCCACCTGGAAAGGGAGAGAGTTGGGGATGAGTATGTGTCTGCAGTAAGACGTTCACACATGGAGTAAACGGTCAGAGTGGGTTGCTGACTAGCCTAGGGAGGGAGAGCAGCAAAAGACATGGGCAGAATAGGACTGAGGGGGGGCAGAGAGAGGGCGAGAGACCTGGGAGGGACTGGGGGCCACTGACCTCAATGAGGATGCCCAAGACAGCCAGGCCCTGAGGCTTCGGAGCAGCCTCACTCAAGCTGTCATAGGAATCAGAATCATAATGTACAATGTGGAGCTGAGGGAGAGGAGAGGGAATGAAATCATTTAATGTTTCTCCACTACCCCTTCCCAAAAGCTTTGACCCTAGCCGCCACCACCTCCACCTCCAGCGTGCCCTACACCTGTCCCACAAAGGTTGGCCTTATCCTCCAAGTATGACTCTTCTCAGTTTCCAGATCCTTCTGTTCTCTGGCACCGACCATGCCTGTCACCATGTCCCAGGCCAAGCTTTGCTCCCTGGTACCTCTGCAACTGTGGCTTCACTGTTGATCTGGTGCTCTGATCCGCCCAGGGACCCTGTCTCACCCCAGTGCAGGTGGAGCTGGGCAGCTACATATTTTCGAGGAAGTCCCTCCAGATACATGGTAGGGGGCAGAGAGAGTTGCACTGTGAGGAAAAGAGAGCAAGCTAGGGTTGGTGGAGGAGTGTGGCCACATTCCTACCCCTCCGATGCTGCTGCTCCTTGGGAGACCCGGGCCAGCCTTTTCTACCTCCCTCTCCCAGTAGCACCCAGTCCTTCCCACCACTGCTTTTCCAGCATAGCTCTGCCTTTCTCAATGAGGGTCAAGTTGATGTTATGATGCTGAATTCACCCTGATTGTAGACATTCACTCCCTACCTTTGGCTTTAAGGAACCACATCCCTATTCTCACATGTCTGAATTTGTAGATGAAGCCTTCTAGGAATTTAGAAGTTAGGCAAATGCTTCTTTTCCCCGACTCCTAAGATTGGAACTGGAGTTTACACCTCCTTGGAGCCTGGGCTTTTTACCTGTGTGGCCATTGTTGTGCAGGTCCAAAGGCTCAGTGCTAGGCTGGTCATATCCATGGGGCTGCAGAGCGGGCAACTCAGGGTCAAAAGTCACTCTGTCTGTCTGGATATTGATGGGGGATTGGGCATTGCTTCCACACTCAGGGTAAGAGGCTGGCCAGTGGTCTTGACCATGTGGGCCTGGTAGGGATTACCACGGACATTTGTCCTGCCCTCCAAGCTCCAGCCACCCTTCAGGAACTAGCCCCCCCCCCAACCCTGGCGAAGACCCCAGTTGTGCAGGGCTAGGTGAGGCAGGGGTCCCTGCTGGACTTGATGTGGCAGCACCCTTCACCTTCCCTGAGGCAGTGATGACTCCCCAGCTCTCCTGAGAGACTACTCCTGATAGAGTAGTGGCTTTTACTTACCTGTAGTTTGGGGACAAGAAAGCTGAATGAAAGGAAAAGGGGATGGATAGAAAACCTGCATGCCTGGAGAGGTGGGACTAGAACAGAGGCAGGAAAGCTGGGGAAATAAAATGATCCTAGAAAGAGCAAGTCTCCTTGGGAGCCCCCTTATGGAGTGGCCTGGGGATTGCATTCCCTCTGCTGACTTCCCACCATTCATTTCTTGCTCTCACACAGAACCTTGCATTGACTCTGGAATTTGCTTGTTTGTCAGCAGTTCAGGGGAATTGAGTCCACCCCCACCAGGGTCACAGACTATCCTGCCAGACTCTTCCTCACCCCTGACCTCAGGCTCTGTCCCAATTCCAGATGCAAGGAGGATCTATGAGGTCAGAAAAAGAGCCAGGAAGTGGATGGGCAGCTAAGCTCTGTGTTCCTTTCCCTACCTGGTTTCTTCTCCACTCCAGCTCCCTCATTCCCACACAGACTGACTGAGGACATCACTGGCCTTTCTGCTGAGTCGGGGGTGGGGGTGGAGGAGTGGGGGCGGGATTTGACAGTTAGAACAGGGTCTAGGAGTCATAGACGTAAAAAATAGGGCCGGGGTGGGGGGGCCTGGGAGGCAGGAGGAGCTAGGGTCAGAAGCTAAAGAAGCTAAAGGGAACTCCCCACACACTCGACAGAAGTCTTCCCGGCAGGTGAAGAGGTCCCAGTGTGGAAGGGGTAGCGGAAGGCCTTGGGTTCTGCTCTCACCCTCATATGTCCAGTGTTGACCTGCAAGGCAGAGAGAGCGGGGTTGCAGCCAGCGCAGCGGGGGGGGGGGGGGGGGGGGGGCGACAGCGTGGGCCGGCCCTCCCCCTCCCGCGGACGCTCTGTGCCGCCCCACCTCGCTCTGTTCTCTCTCCACCCTCCTCCCCGAGCACTTCCCGAAGGAAGCCCTGAAACCGGACACCTCGGCGGAAAGGTCGGGGGGCCGATTTAAAATCGCCGGCCCCGGGCAGTGCGGGCGCGTGCTGAGGAGAGGGGGAGGAGAAGGGGAAGGGAGTAGAGAGAGCCCGGAGACTAAAATTAACCTGGACCCAAAAGTGCAGCTTGCCCCGCGCTCACTGTTCTCCAGCCGGGGCCAAGCCAGTCCGACACTTAGAAGATTAGGGTGAGGTGAGGGCGTGGACAGAGGGTTTGGAGGAGAGGGACTAGAACCGGGCGGGGGGCGTGTGGGGGCGGAGGTTGTGTGTGGGGGATGATGCTACCCAGGGGAGAAGGGCCATTATTCATCTGCTCTGAAGCATAGTGTCAAGCACGTGAGGCGAGGCCCTCCGCTGTGAATTAACACTGAAGTTCCTCCTCGGGTCCTAGTAGCTCTCCCGTTAGCGGGAGCCTCTGCTCTCTAGATCCCCAGATGGCTAGGGAAGGTGGGAGTCGGGGCAGGGTCCCCGCCACGTTGAGGGTGGTGGGTGGGCCCAGGCAGCCAGGCTGGCAGAGACCGACTGAAAGTGAAGCATTGTGTGCGGAAGGGAGAGCTGCCAGCCGGGTCACATGCCAGCCTCTCGCGCAGCCCTATCTCAGGCTGAGAGCCTGGGGGTCTGCTGGTCCAGTCTCACGCAAGGCCAATGGCTTCCGCCTTCCTGCCGGTTTTCTCTGGATTATTCCAATTCTAGTTCAAATTCAAGCTCTGTGGGAAAAAATTCGAAATTCCTTCCTCTCTCTCTCTTATTCTCTCAAATTCCTCAGACTTCTGAGATATCCTTGATCTCATCCTTGGGCTCTTGTTCTGACCCACCCCTTGGTTCAGACAACTCTGAAAAGCAGCCCAAGGGGGAGGGCTGGAGGCAGCCTCTCACTCACCAGCGCCATGGGACACTCAAGTCAACTTGAATTCCCCAGTTCCATTTGGTGCAGGCTGACAGCCTTGCTTTTCCCCTCCCACCAAATCCTCGACATGCTGATTCTTCATCTCTTCCTCTTCTTTCCCTGTTTTTTTCTTTTCCCTCAGATGTACTTTCCAGCTCTCCATGTGGCTGGCCCCCTCACCTCATCATCCTCCCTGCGTTCCCCTTCTGTCCTCCAGGCCCTTCCCCTCACCCCCTGCTCTTCCAAGGGGTCTTGATTGCACACCTGCTGTGTACCGGATTCTGTGCTAGACATAGGAAACACAAAAATAAGGGGCAAGGGTCCTGGGGACACTATAGGGAGCATCCGGAAGCCTGTTCTCCGAGTCCTCCTCATCTCCTGGGAGCTTCTGAAAGTCCTTCCTAAGCTGTGAAGGGCCCAACAGTGTTGACTGTTATTGCTACTGCTTGCAGGGAGAAACCGGGAAACCAGTCGCCCCATAGAATCAAGAGTGGACATTGGCCATGCAGTTCATAGTTGGGGAGCAGGGTCTGAGTTAGTCAGGGGGCGCAGGGGTATAGAGCCCTCTCTATTTTTTCACTCGCTGCCTCCTTGGCTCCCTAGTTGAGGGAGTTCTGAAATAAAGAGGGCCTGGGAGGGTTGTCTGGGACTAGGGCGGTGCAGGAAAGAGTGCAGAGAGCGATTCCCGCAGTGTGTGTACACATCCTGCTCCCCAGCTAGCTCCCCAACCCTCCCCCCATCCCCACAAACAGCAAGGCTGGACAGGCAAAAGGGCAAGAAGGAAAGTGCTCTTCTCCCCACTCCTCTCTCTTCCCCCACATCCCTGAGTCTTTTATTCAAGCTCCTAGGCTTCCTTTTATAACACCCCCCCCATTAAGTAAACCTGGAGCATGTGGACATCAGCACAGACAGACACACAGACATCCAGATGTACCTACCCCCTTCGGCAGCCAGGATCCAAATCACCTCCAGCAGGAGAGTGAAGAACAACATGGTGTCCCCGCAAGAAGCAGGTACTGGGAGTTTGGGGACTAGAGGACTAGGGTTGGCAGAGAAGGAGTTGGGGGGGAGAGGGAGAGGGAGGGAGAGGGAGAGGGAGAGGGAGGGAGGGACGGAGAGAGAGAGAGTGAGAGAGGAGTTTCTTGGGCCTGAGCTGATTGTATTTATCTCTTTTTCTCTTGCTGTCTCTGTGAGCTTCCAGAGGATTTGGTTTTCAGTAGGGTACCGAAGGGTTTTGGGTCCCTAGGACAAATCTCTCTCTCTTTGTTAATCTACCTCTACAATCTTCACTCCACTTGCTGGCCAGCGACTTCACAATTGCCTCCTGCTTTTAAGGTGGCTCTGGACGAGTGTACGTGGGGGTGGGGGGTGCTGCCGGGGTTGCTGGCGAACAGCTCCTTAAATAGCCGATTAGGCATGCAGAGTTGGAGCTTGCGGCGGGCTCACAGAGCCCGGGCCCTGGCTCAGGCGCCCAGCTGGGGTGTGCTCTTCCTTCCTCTGCTCTTCCCATGGGCACTGTCCAGGTGGGGGTCCCCTGGAGCGGGCCTGGGCCACGGAAGGAGGGCTTGGGGGTCCAATCCAGCCCCCTCAGGGGGACACCATGTTCTCATTCCCCGCCTGGCTTCTCCGAGGAGCAGCTCCCCTGGGTGGCATGGGCCAGCGGGTGGGAAGACCTGTTCCCTGTCCCCTGCAGATTATGAACTGCCCCGGAACAGGAAGGGTCCAGAGTTCGGAGATAGGAGCTGGGGACTCAGGGTGCAGGTGGAGGGTAGGAAGTCAAGGGCTAAGACCTAGCTTGTAGAAAATAAAGAAGAGAAGTGAGGCAAGAGAACTGGTTTGGAGCGATCTCTTCCTGTGCCTGTCACCACCCCCTTCCCACGGTGAGGCCTGGGTCCACGTGCCTGTGCGGCCTGGGTGGGGGGGTGGTTTTGTTTGCTGTATAAAGCCCATTTGTGTGCCCAGCGGGGGAGGGGCTGCAGCAGCACCACAGAGAGACGGCGGCTCCAACTGCCAGACCCAGCCACCTCCCTCCCCAGGGAGCCCATATCTAGGGCGGCTTTTGTCATTGAAGAGGACACTGACCCCTGGCAGGGAGGCCAGGGCAGGAGGAGAGATGGGGAGACCTCTGAAACAATCATTACCACCGTAAAAAAAAAAAAAAAAAAAAAAAAAGGCAGACTCTAGAGAAAGGGAGGGGAGGGAGCAGAGAGAGACCATGTGATCTAGTTGGAAGTGGGGCCCAGGGTCTTCCCTCCTGCTCAACAAAGGGCTGAGGCCGGACATGTGGGACTGAGTGAAATCTGCCACCGGGGAGCTGGATGAGTAGAGTATAGAGGCTGCTGGGTCTCAGGAATGTGGGCTGGTGCCTGTTTCCCCATGGGACTGGAAATCCCGATCGGAATGTACATCCTAAAGCCCTCATTAGAGAATGTGAAACACACAGATAATTTCAAGCCAGACACTGAGACCTCTTTCTCCTCCGTGCCCTTCACCAGAGTCACCCTCCCTGAGGAGGCACCCGTTTGAGCTCCCTCTGCGCTCGTCCCTCCTGCCAAGGAGCAAGAAATAGCCAAAACAAAGGGAGCAGAAGCTAAATAAGGGAGCAGGATAAAAGCCAAATGAACAGAATAATGCATGTGCTGGATCATCGGTACCTGCTGAGGCAGGAGTAGCCATGCCTTTCTGGCCCCTGTGATTGATGTGCAAAGCAAAACCATTTGGCGGATGTCATTTCCCTCTTCATTTTCTCATCACCCTCAGAATTCTTTTTCCCTTACAAGGCGCATTTTATGTTTTGGGGTTCCCCCAAAGCCCCACCCCTCTCGTCTAAGAAGAATAAAAGGCAATAAACTAGACATCCTGGGAATCAGGATAGTTAACACAGAGAAACAGAGAAAGGAAGAAAAGCAGAGACATCTACTGCATGGGAGGAAAGAATGGGCCTGGACAGAATGACCTCGTCAGGTCAGAGTCCCGGTCCAGCAGCTGGGGCTGTAATTCAGCTTCCCCGGGCAGATAGTGTGTCTTGCCAGGCGCCACCTGCTGGTTGTCTCGTGAATTTTTTTTGGTAATTTTTAAAAATTTTAATTTAAAATCTGTGTGTGATTGCCTCGAGGAAGTGTTTCACTGCTGGTGGGATTTGGGATTTTGCCTCCAGAAATAAACATTGTTTCACAAAAATGTCTTAGCCCCAAATCAGCACCTTCCCACTTCTGAGTGAGCAGCCTCTCCAGGCCCTCGTGCTACCCCAGTGGACAAAGGCCTTGGTTTCTGGGAGGGAGGGAGTAAGGAGGCAAGCACCATCCTCCAGGCACTTGCCTTTATTTTGCTCTTTGGCTATACTGTGGATATTTCTGTAGTCACCAAGCTAATTTGGAGTACGTGTCAAGAGGACCCTTCTATGTTAAAACAAAACAAAATGCCATCCTCCCCCCCTACTCCCTTCATCTCAGTAGCTACTCAAACTCTGGCACCTTTGTTTTAATTCTTACTCCTCTCTCCAGCACATTCCTTACCCTGGAGCTGGCTAAACCCAAGGCATTCCACTGCCTTCTGGCGCCATCTCCTGTCCTTTCAAATGCAGTGAAATGTGAACAGGTCAGAGAATCAAATGTCCAAGTGTGGTTGGTGGCTTTTTGGTTTGTTTTTTCTTAAAAGTCCTTTTTATTTTATTATGATTTTTCTTACTTAAGGAATCTCTATACCCCACATGCGGCTCGAACTTACAACCCCCAAGATCAAGAGTCGGCATACTCTTCAAACTGAGCCAGCCAGGCATCTCATTAAGAGGTCCTTTTAAAAAGGATATTTAGGGGCGCCTCTGTCTGCCGCTCCCCCTGCTTGTGCATACTCTTTCTCTCTCTCTCTGTTAAATAAATAAATAAAATCTCTTTTTAAAAAAGGATGTTTAAACTCAATAAATGTCCAAAATAGTCTAAAACACCTTGCAGGAGCCCACTAAGTACTGAGTTTGTGTGGTGATGGGGGGGGTATACAAGAGTCAGTGTGGGAGGGAGGCCGATCAAAAAAAAAGGAGGGGCACCTGGGTGGCTCAGTCAGTTAAGTGTCTGCCTTCTGCTCAGGTCATGATCCCCGGGGGTCCTGGGATCAAGCCCTGCATCAGGCTTCCCGCTCAGCGGGGAGTCTGCTTCTCCCTCTCCCTCTGCTCCTCCCCCTCCTCCTGTTCTCTCTCTCAGATAAATAAATTAAAAAACAAAACAAAACACAAACAAAAAGAAAGGCGAATGGCCAACACAAGAACTTACTCAAGCAATACAGTTGGTAACTAGAAAAGAGAATCAATGAGGAGACCATTAGATGGAATTCGATTTCTTTTTTTTTTTTTAAGATTTTATTTATTTGACAGAGAGAGACACAGCGAGAGAGGGAACACAAGCGGGGGGAGTGGGAGAGGGAGAAGCAGGCTTCCTGCGGAGCAGGGAGCCGGATGCGGGTTCGATGCGGGGCTTGATCCCAGGACCCTGGGATCATGACCTGAGCTGAAGGCAGACGCCTAATGACTGAACCACCCAGGCGCTCCTGGAATTCGATTTCCTAAAAGAGCAAGCAACTTTGTGCCATGAAATAATGTAGACCCAGAGATATTCTAATTTGGTAGATAATCACATTTATTATCACACGCTTGTCTCCTAACACATGAGTACTGAAGCCCCTTAAGTAAACACAAGAGGCTCAAGAATTGAAGTCAAAGTAAAAAACAACAACAACAACAAAAAAAAAAAATGAAAAAATAAAAAACAAAAGAATTAAAGTCCAAGTAATTTGGGAGAGGTGTGGTCAGAATTCTGGATCATTTTTCTCAGCTTTCCAGTTCATATTCCCCAACAAATGCAATGTGAGACTATTGTAGACAGAAGACAGGTAAGTTTGTGGTCTGAAATCTTGCAACTTTATTTAAAAAGGAGTAATTGTGGGGCACTTGGGTGGCTCAGTCGTTAAGCGTCTGCCTTCGGCTCAGGTCACGATCCCAGGGTCCTGGGACCAAGCCCTGCATCGGGCTCCCTGCTCAGCGGGGAGTCGGCTTCTCCCTCTGCCCCGTCCCCACACCCCACCCCTGTTCATTCATGCTCTCGTGCGTCCTCGCTCTCTCAAATAAATAAATAAATAACATCTTAAAAAATAAAAAGGAGTAATTTTGTGTCCTGCACTGATTCCGTGTCCAGATCACTGCCTGGTACGTACATATTTGCTGAATGAATGACTAAATCTAGTCATTGGAACATTTATTTACTTTCTTTCTGTCTTTGGTATTTTGCAGAATTTTAGACCAGAAGGGTTCTCAGGCATCATTCCAACTCCCTTGTTATAGCCTGTGAAGGCAGAGTTTTGAGGGGCTTAGGGATTCTCTCATGGTTAGACACATAGCAGCTAAGCTGAACCAGGGCAAGGGCACAGACCCCATTGGATTTCCTACTACACTACTGGTTCTCAAACATCAGTGTGCATCAGAATTATCTGGAAAGCTTGTTAAATTACAGATTTCTGGGCCTCCCTCCCATAGTTTCTGATTCCGTAGGTCTGGAGTATGTCCAGAGAATTGCATTTATAGCAGGTCCTCAGGTGATGCTGATGGTCTGAGGGGACCCCACTTGAGAACCAAAGCCCTACACCAACTGGAATAGGGGAGGGAGTAGGGAGTTTGCCATTCTTGGTAGGGCTTCCAGCCATCTGGAATTGTTATTTGCAGTCATCTTTATAGAGATGAGCCACAATACCTTCATTAGTTTACAATCATATATTGAGGACTTCTAGATGCTAGGCACCACGCCATGCCCTAGAAATAAAAAATTAACAAGAGGTAATCCCAGCCCTCAAGAATTTCACAATCTCTTAAGGGTTATAGATGCCTTACCCAATTACTAGACTGCAGCACTGAGGAGTTCTAAATAGTGGTAGAGCAAAATGTTACGGGAATCAAAGAGGATGGGGAACTAGCGGTGAGGTTTTCTTTACCTGATACCAACAATCTTTCCTCAGAATAGGAGCAGGTCCTAGAGTGATATGTAACAACAAAAAATTCCACTCCAAGGCAGGCAGATTCATGCGTCACTGTCTCGGAGAGTGACCCCAAAGGA